AAGGCACTTGACCTTGATTCCAAGGTCCAAAAAGTTTAAATATTCATGCAAAAGCTCTATCGGACCAAACCTAGATGGAGCCTGAACCTTATCCAACCCTTAAACTAGAAATTTTGAACCCTCAAAATCACACTCTAATCTGAAGACAATTGGGATAATCAAACATTTTCGACCCTCTCCCGCCTATATTCATTTGCCCGTTAAAACCTAAAGGACCGAGATTGACCGTGTAACCATCTATTCTAAACAGGCAGGCGCCGGGGCCTAGGGGCTCAGCTTCAAGTATCACTTTCTCCCTTCCTTTACTTTCATTAATGATAGTTTTGAGTTCAATTTAATCTCATTTTGTGTATTTATTAACTTTTATTAGTTTCATTTATTGCTTTCTTTGATCTTGCTCTCTTTGCTAAAGTTTTCATTAAATCCCCTCCTCTCTTCATTAAATATTTCAAAACCTCTCTTGAACTCAAAGACTAAAGTGTGCAGGAAGTCGACTTTGCCGGTGGTCCGAGCAGGAGAAGGTTTTTAGCCTGATCCTCGTCTGTAACGTAATTTGATGGGGTCCTTTCTCTATCAACTCTTTTGATATGTTTGTACCTGAAACCAAGGTGGGGAACATAATTTATTGCCCGCATTTTTTAGAATAAACACATGCACCTACCTTTTTTTTATGGTGGGATTCGCAAATGCCGCTAGTATCTTGCCAACTATTCAATAGCCATGGGGACGATTGACCAGTTCTCCCTTGAATTATGATTTCATATTGGGAATATTTACTATCTGACGGACTCGTCTTGACCGTGTGCATCATCTTATTCACCTAGGAGGACTGGTCTTCTTCCCTGACGTGGATATCATGTGTGCTAGAGCTCAAACATATAGAATTCGAAGATTCTCCATAAAGGACGTTAACTTTGCATTGGGCAAAGAAGATAAGACCTCTTTAGGTTCAAGCAGAGGGCTGATGACCAATGGGTCAAGGCTTTGAATGCTTCCAAATACAAAGCCATATTGGCGTAAAGGCTGGGTCGGACATTGAAGGAGCGTGAGTGAACACCCTCAGCCTCTATGACTGCCCTTTTCTATCTCTGCCTTGGGTGGTTCAGAAATAGCCTCGATCATGCCATATGCTTTCGCACCCAAGCCTTTTCCTGGGTGGGAGCCTAGAAAAGGTGATCATTGACATCTTCCCTCATTTGAGCCAATGAACAAGGTGGTATCTTTTAGTCCTACCTTCATCTGGCCAACAAGTCTTCCTGGTTAGTCTGATTTTCCTCTCTTAGAAAAGGTTGATGGATGCAACTGGACTGCATTTTCAGTGCTCATTCTAAAAAATAGTGAAGATCGAAATGTAATCTTTTGAAGGTCCATAAAACCAACACCTAATAATAATTTCCTTAGAGTATTGAACAAGGTATATATGGTGTTTAATAGAAGGAAAAAGTTTATACAAGGTTGCAAACTTAAAAAGTAGAATTACATATGCACCTCAAAAATCCATCGCAAAAGATTGTTTTAATATTGAAAAACCCTCTAATCGATGATCTCGACATCGAAATGCATGAATATGGAAAAAAAATAAAATTTGAGTCCCAAAAATAGTGCATATTGCAGCACATTATCTAAAACATTCATCTTCAAGATTTTCATATGTTGATAGATCTATTTGATTTTAACCATTTTTAAAGTTTCAAATTTTATAATTAGAGATGAAAATAGATTTCAAGATAATCCGAAGATTGTTTTACACCAAAATTACATGTTATGATAAAATTTGGAGGTGCACCTTAATTGGATCATTTAAGGTTGTAACCTTATAGAAACCACACCCTTAATAAAATGATGGTACTTTCTGCCACGTTAGGGCATAATTAATAAAAGAAGATTTTGAACATTCAAAATTTTCAAAATTTATATCAACGTTTTTGCTCGGTTCCCATATTTTGAAATTGCATAGTATTCTAGTATGTTTTTCCTCATGTCTGTTTACCTGCATTGCACAATTTTTATACACTTGGTAGTCGTTTGCATACCTGAAAATATATTGTTTGTGAAATATATTATTGGCGTAATACATAACCTGTAAATGGATTGTTACTATTTGGGTGGTATTTAGATGCAACCTGGGAAATAAATTGTTATTGTTTGGCTATGTCTGAAGAAATATAGGAAATGCATTATCAACCTTTTACCAGCACGTGCCTATAAACTATCATTTCTTTCTTTTTTGTCACAAAATTCCACTAAAATACAGAATTATAATTTCCTTCTTTTTTGTCACAAAATTCTACTAAAATATTGAATTAAAATCATCATCACACCATTCTAAAATGATTTCTAATAAAAATATTATCACCATTCCAAAAAGATTTTCTAATGATAACTTGTACCATTTAACAGTCATGGCACTATTTTCTACTTATTTTAAGTGCCTTTGGCACTTATATACAATCACATGTTTTCTAACATGATATTTGTTTCAACATAATAAGTCATCGGAACAATATGATTAGAATAACATGATTTTATTATAATAATCGTTATTTTTATTTATTTTTTATAGAAGTCTTTCAAATATCTCTCTATATAATATCAAATAAACAATAAATTTATGATACTAAATTCAAAATTTGTAGGGTACGAGTTAAAAAATGGGAAGAATTTGATTAGTAAACTAGAAGGTGTGGTAATTGCAGTACAAAATTTTGAGGTATTGGAGGAAACTAAAGAGGTATGTTATTTTAATTGAGATTTTAGTAATCTCTTATGAGGATTATGTTGTGTAAAAATTTTTATTATGATTGTGTTGTGTAATTTATCATTGATTATTGGTTTTTATTTTTATTATTTTTGTTTTTATATGACACTGATGCCTTCAGATGAGGTAACGAAGGATTTTTATTTTTATTATTTTTGTTTTTATATGACACGGATGCATGGACAAGCTTGGGAGCGATTACATTATGTTGTGTGAAATTTTTTATTATGATTGTGTTGTGTAAATTATCATTGATTACTGATTTTTATTTTTATTATTTTTTGTTTTTATTATTTTTTATTTTTATTATTTTTGTTTTTATATGACAGCTGATGGCTTCAGATAAGGGGACGAGATTAAAAAGGAGAAATCACCTAGTTATTATGGAGAGAGAGGGCTTAGAAGATTTTTTTAATAAAGGATAGGGTAGACAAAAACATACGCGAAATATTTCTCAAAATTACCTGTCACTCTCATAATAGATTTTTCACCTATCAGAGTGCGTAATATTTTTTTATTTTCACCTATAAGAGTGCGTAATATTTTGTGATTTTTGGGGAAATCTCACCATAGCTTTTTCACCTATCAGTGTGTAATGGATTTCTGGGGAAATCTCACAATAGATTTTTTACCTATTAGAGTAATGGTTTTCCAAAAAATCTTTATTTTTTGGAAAATCTCACGTGATCTCTTTCAATCATATTTCCTTGTAATATATTGTCACCTAATAGTGTACCCAAAAGGTGGAAATACCATATTTCCATCTCACGTGATCTCTTTCAATTTTGATCTCTTTCAACTTTCTTTATGTAATCTATTGTCACGTAAAAGTATACCCAAACAGTGGAAATGTCATATTTCCTTCTCACGCAATCTCTTTCAATTTTTTTTTATGAATATCATATTTCCTTGTAATCTATTGTCACATAATAGTAATAGTGTATCCAAACAGTGAAAATGTCATATTTCCTTGTAATCTATTGCCACGTAATAGACTTTCAGGTACCGTTTAATCTATTATCAGGTACCGTTTAATCTATTGTCACGTAATAGATTCTCAAGTACCCAAACGGCCCCTTGATGTATTTGATTGTTTTGCAGATTCGGAATAACAATAGATTTTCAGGTACCCAAACGATCCCTTGATGTATTTGATTGATAACAATAGATTTTCAAGTACCCAAATAGCCCCTTGATGTATTTGGTTGTCTTGCTGACAGATTCGGAATAACAGTTTGTGACTCCTAACTTTAAAGCCAAATGACAATGTCTGCTAACTTTAAGCCCAAATGACAATGTCTGTTGGCCTTGAAAGGCCATCGATTAGTATCTTATTATGTTATAATATAGGGAATAACCCCAATTTTTAACGAGCTATCATGTAGCAATTTATGGGCGTCTTTTCCAAGCATTGTTCAAACTAGAAAAAATTAACTTTGTAAGTCATGATGTTTGGAGAAACACCAGATTACCATGTCCTTGAGGAACGGTGAGATTTGAGAGATATCTCCAAATCGAGCAGAGAGAATAAGCCCAATCCGGCTAGCAAAAAAATGAAAAGCTATAACAACAATTTTTGGAATCCCTAAAAACTCAAGTTGGAATGCTCCAAAATTTAGGGCTCGTGATTTGGACTTTAAAGTTGGGGCTCCCGATTTGGGCTCTAAAGTTGGCTTAGGATGTTTTAGGATCTGGATTTTCCTTTTATTGCATCATCATGAAAATCTTAAGACTCTCTGCATGATCACCTTCTTCCTCCAAGTTACCATTAAGTAGCACCAATTCCTTGGAGACGCCAAATCAAGCATATTGATAGACCGGAGTCACTTGCAAGCATTCCTGTGTGCGTGAGAGAGTGAGTGAGAGAGAGAGAGAGAGAGAGAGAGAGAGAGAGGAGGGGGGAGGGGGGAGGGGGAGGGGAGGGACGGTACGGTCGTCGTCGTACGTAACAAACTAACTACGTAACCTAACGAACGAAACGTACTATACGTAGGTACGTACGT